CGGGAGAGGCAGACAGCCACAAAAGTGAGAGGGCTCCCCACACCTAGTCTCCACCCCATCACCCCCATGGTAGCAGAGTTGTCACATAGGCAGTACAGTGACCCTGAGCGGAGGAGTACAGGGATCAGCAAACCCATTTGGCAGATGGGGAGACAGAGGCACAGAAAGGGCCCCAGAAAAGTCCAAAGCCCATCTCTGCTGCTCAGCACACTACTGATGCTCCCACCTCGTTTAAGAGGGAGCAGATGCTGATGGGGGTCCCCTCGATGAGGTCCAAACAGGTCTGGTTGTCCTGGTAGTTGACAAATGACCACTCCAGGCCCTCCAGTGCGTATTCCTCCTAGAAGGCAAGGTGAGGGGGCAGGAGGCAGCTAAGGGCTGAGGCCCAGAAGGCCATCCTATGGCTGGCCTCAGCAACACCAACTATTCCAGAATGGCATCAAGAACTAAAGGCTAGGTCCTGGGGGCCAGGAAGAGATAGAGGATCCAGGACGGCCCCACCCTGCCACACGCTCACCTGCTGAGCCCTTAGATAGTGAGCCACAAAGTGCTGTTGCAGTTTCTCATTGGCATAGTTGATGCACAGCTGTTCCAGACTGTTGTCAGGGAATGACTCAAAGCCGTACACATCCAGCAGGCCTGTGGGGGGTAGGGCGGTGGTGAGGGGAGAACCCATGGGGTCGCTGCAGAGGCCGGAGGACTGTAGGGGCCCAGAGTGAAGCCTCATCCTTGGCAGCCTGGGGATAAGGCTGAGCAAGCATGACACCCACAGTGGGCAAAGCACCCTACCCCACCCCAGGGTGCCATCTCTACCTCATGCCCCCTCAGAACTTGCAACAGGAAGAAAGGCCGAATGTGTGTGAGGGGCAACTCAGGGCACCAGGTCCTCTTCGAGGCTGAATCCTTAGGTCCCGCTACCAGGACCTTGAGGGCACCAGGTCCCAGGGAACATTTCCTGCATCCAGCCCAGTTTGGAGGGCCTGGGTCTCACCAGCCCAGTTGGTGTCTAGAATTCCACATTCTGTGAACAAACTCACTGGTGCCTCTGAGCTCTACTGCCTCCCCTACCTGACATTCCTACCCAGGTTCCAGCAAGGTTATCTTTCACTCATCCCCACTCTCAGACAGGTGCCATCTGAGTGTGCCTGGTGAGCTATGGACGAGTCGGATGTGAGCATCCGGGAGTAGAGATGTCCTTGCCCAAACACTGGTGGACAGATGAGGAGAGGGGGATGCAGAGGAGGGAAAGGAGCTGCCCTGGTCTTTTTTAGAAGGGGTGTTCCCGGCAGGGGGCCCTGCTACCTATGAAAGTGGTCCAGGAGTCGGGGGTCGCATAGATACTGCTGTTGATCACCGATACCAGCCAGTCGAACAGCCTGTTGGGGTTGGGGAAGAGGAGCCTCTGGTGAGAGCAGGTCGAGCTGAATTTGAGGGGTGGTAGAGCTGCTTCTCCAGCCAGGGTGCCACACCCAGGAGGGCCCATAAGCACATGCACTCATACATACACGTGTTCCGTCCCCTAATTTCAAAGATGCCACTTGACACCCTTACATGGCATCATGAAGGTTCTCAGAACCCAGGATGAGAAAACACCCTTAACCACATGGCCAGAGGGTGGACATGCCCATATCACCCACTAGGAAAGGCCAGGACCCACCTGACCCTGTTCTGGGCTTCCACTTGCTGCTTGCTGGGTTGCCCTGCACTTTGGGCTGAGGTTCTGGCTCTATCACCATCTATCAAATTCCCCAGGTGCCTGGGGAAGTCTCAGGAGCTACTCCCTGCTGTCCCCAAGGATCTGGGGAACAGGGAGGGAAGCCATCTGCTGTGTCTGGCAGCCCTCACCCTGGGCCTGGGCCTATGGCGTGGCAGTGTCTGGTTCAACTCCAAAGATGGGAGAACTTGGAGGCAGCAGGGGCCCAGAGTGCTCACCGTGCATAGATCAGTTTGGCCAGACAGTCTCTGCGGGTGTCGCACTCGGCTAGGGAGCAGGGCTTCCGGAACACCTGCTGCTGCCTGCCTGCCCTGATGGTCCTGATCCTCAGTGTCTCCAGCAGTGGGTCCTCTGGGAGCCAGAGCAGCGAGGCCGATGTCCTGACAGAGCCTGGGAGGACAAACCTTCCATCCAAACAGTCCCCTTCACAAGGCAGTGAAGCCATTGTCATGGAACCATCGCCCGCCCAAATGAACAGAGGAAACCTTGCTGGTAGGCGAAGAGACCGCCGAAGGCAGAGGCAGGGCATGAACCCAGGACTTCTGTGTCCCAGTCCACATTGCCACGTGTGGGACAAATTATAAACCCTCTGACCCTCGTTTGCTCATCTGTAAAATGGGGACAATGCTGCCTGCTTCAGAGATGGGGTGAGGAGTAACTTATCCAGGGCAGGACGCTACAGCTAATGTTTAATCAAATTTTAAATTCCAAATTTCACCCTCTGGCCTCCCACCCAATCCCACCGATACTGGCTCTTTTCTGGGCAGGACCAGCCTGCTCCCTGGGTGTGTGACCAAAGCCTGAGGCACAGCCCCCTGCCACCCTTGCTCTCACCCTTGGCATCGTCCATCAGCTGGCAGGGCTGGGCTTCATCCTCACAGTCAGCAAAACGGACGTTGCCGAGGTGCAGCAGTCCAGCCAGGATCTGAGGGGCAGGAGAAAGGAGACACACAGTGGGCACCTTGTAAGGGCTGGAGCCCAGCCTGAAAGGCTTCTCTTCTGCTAAATATAATCACAAGAGAAGAATAATAGCAGCTCTCAGCTACTGTCCATTTGCTGCAGGACTCTATGAGACACGATTCTATGCATGTTACCTGCATCATCTTGGTTAATCTTTTTTTTTTTTTAAAAAAATATACTTTTATTGATTTCAGAGAGGAAGGGAGAGGGAGAGATAGAAACATCAATGATGAGAGAGAATCATTGATTGGCTGCCTCCTGCACGCCCCCTACTGGGGATTGAGCCCGCACCCGAGGCATGTGCCCTTGACTCAAACCTGGGACCCTTTGGTCCACAGGCCAACACTCTATCCACTGAGCCAAACCAGCTAGGGCTTGGTTAAACTTTTCAACATCAGTGAGGCGAGTGCTGCAACGATGTCCATGACAGAGATGAGAAGGGGACAGGTTAAATGAGAACCCGGGCAGTCTGACTACAGAAGCCTCCCAGGGCAGCTGGTGGGGCCTCCAGGTCACCATGGTCTGTCCCTCTGCCTTCCCCTCTGGAGTAGACTGTAGAACACAGCTCCTGTTCCTCGTGGAGCAGGCTTCTATGGAGCTGGGCTTGGACTCCCTTTGGCCCTTTCCCAGCACAGTTGGGCTCTGATGGCCCAGCCTAGGGGAGGATCTGTGACCATGGTGTCTGTACAGTGGGGGCCCTCTTGCCTTTGCACTTGAAGCATGTGGACGAGCCCCTAGGAGCTGTAGAAAGGAGGCTGGGCAAACATGGCAGCATTATTTCCCTACTCTGACTACTGCAGTAAAAGCTGACCCAGGCTCCTTGCCCTCTGAGCTCTAACGCTCTTGGTGCTGTTTTATATACAGAACTATGTGCTCCACGCCCCTCCCACCCTGACACTGTGTCCAGGTTCAGGGGCACAGAGGAGCGGCCCACTTCTTGGAGACTGCAAGGCGGGGCCCGAAGTCTCAGATCCTCAGGAAGACTCAGGTTCAGAGGAGGCTTCCAGTGACCTCTGTCAAATGTAAGTGCCATGGCTTTCCTTCTGACCTTAAAGATGTTGTTCTGGGTGAGGGTGTCGATGCCAAGATGAAGCATGGCCTCTCTGGTTACCTCAAAACAATCCTCTGAAAAGAAACCCAAGTCACAGCCCAGTGTCAGGACCAGAGGCCAGCAGGGGCAGTGAGGGGTGAGAGAGGCAGGCTGTGAGCAGAGGGGGGTGGGTGCTGGGTAAGGCTCCCCCTACCTTCCAAGGTCCTCTCAGGGTTGGGCAGCCAGGAGAAGGCGGCTCCCTCGGGGAGGTGCCACCGGAGCCTCTCGTCTGCACTGGCTCCTTTGCAGATCTGTGGGAGGGGGGACAGGTTGCTGAGCTGGGGCTGCGAGGGGAGCCCAGGCCTATATAGGCCTGGGGTCGAGATAAAAGGAGTGAGAGGTGGCAGTGACATCACAAGACTGTAGAGCACCCAGGGTAGGCACGGGGCAAAAGCAGCAGCAACCAGTTTTCATGTCTGCAACCCGGTGCCAAACACCGTCTGAGGAGGCCTATGTTTGAGGAAGGCACAACTCCTCTCTGGGGAGGCCCCAGGCTCAACCTGAGAGCCGGGGACACACTATCCATGCTTTGGGGGACCACCCGTCTGATGAAAGAGGCACAGCTCTGGGGAAGTCCTCGTTCTGTTTGGAGAGTCCCCAGCACCGTCTGGTTTGATAGAGGAGGTAATACACATCCCACACCAAAGCATCCCAGAAGCCTAGGTCCAGTGTGAGGCAGTGTTGCATAAAGTTTGCTAGAATAAGTGGTGGCACCACTGGAAGCCGATTAAAGGGGCAGAAGGAGGGGCTAGGAGTCACAGGCCATCTCCACCCTGCATCTGGGCAGCTGTGGGCCCCACCTGGCACAGACCTGGTAGAAGATGTGGAAGTTCCTCTCATTGGAGGCCTGGCAGGCCACGCGAGTTTTCTCTAGGAGGTAGGTCTGGACTGCAGCTCCAGTCATCTGATGGGCCCTGGCACAAGCAGACCAGAGCCCATTAGTTACCCACTCATTCCATAGGCATTTACTGTTTGCCAGACTGCAACCCCACTTCCCGACCAGGCTCTTCCACTTCGCCAATGGGGGTCATGAGGACGAGGGACTACTCAGCAGGCCCTTGAGTGGTACGGGGCATTCCCCTGCACCCAGCTCAGGTGGGCAGAGCCAAGGCCTCTGTAAGTCATTATGCCCCATCCCAAGGCAGGAGCAGAAGCCCTGCAGGGTCAAGCTCAGGGTTGTGGCCACAGAAGTGGCTGTTTAACTGTAAGTCCCCAAGCAAGGGTAAAAGCCAGGAGGAACTGCCCCAGGTTCCCCAAGGCGGCAGCAGCGATAGTTCTCTAGATTCAAAGATCACCCTCAGGGTTCACTGATCCTAATAAACCCCATACACATGCATGCCAGGAGGAGCAGGGTTCTGCCCACAGGGGTGGCCCAGGCTAGAGACTACTCCAGCCACTTGCAGACTCCCTGTCCCCGTCCTCCCATCAGCCAGGGCACTGGCGGCAGCAGCAATTACCTGTTCATTTGGAGCTGGATGAACTTCCCAAAGCGACTGCTGTTGTTATTCCTCAGCGTGCACGCATTCCCTACAGATCACACCTCTGTTTATACCGCTCCCCTATGTGTACAGAGTCCTCATGGGCCAATGTGGCTGCAGGTCTGCTTGGGCCATGTCTCTATCAAGTCATCTAAAGGCCCCTTTTTGGTTTCCATGTCACAGGGGACAGGACTAAGCAAGTGTGACTCGGGAGTTAGAAGGACTTCCTGGCAGTGAACTGAAATGAGCAAGCCTAGGCAGCCAGGGACTGACTTCTTTGAAGGGAAAGAATAAAAAACAATCTGTCACTATTGAGTTAGACAGTAGGCACAACATCTAGAGTCCCAACATGGACACTAACTGTCGTACATCCTTAGACCAGTTCCCCTCTCCTCTGAACCATCAGGATTTAGACCAGAGGAGCCACAGGATCCTCTCCAGGACCACTGTTACATCTGCTCGAGGGAGGAGATGGCTGAATGACAGCCTCTCTGCTGGAAAGAGGCTCAGAGCACCTGGAGGAGATTGGGAGCCCAAGGCAGTGAATGATACACTCATCCTCCAACCCCCACAGAGAGGGTTTCACTTTCCTCTCCCTGGAAGGTGGCAAATCCCAGAGGACATGGGACAGAGGACACCGAGCTTACCAAAAGCTTCCATGACAGGGTTGGAGTTCAAGATGCGCTGCTCGATCCTCTCTGCAATCTTGTGGCTCTCCCAGGATGTAGGTGAGGCAGCCACCACAGCATAGAACTTCATCAGGCAACGGGAAGTCCATGTCTACGGCAGAAACAGCCTGTGGGAGCCCTGCCCAAGTTCCCTCCCACCTCTGAGCCTGCCTGAGGGAACGGTGCCCACTAGCACCATCTCCTCCACCAAGCAAGGTGCTAACTGAATGGGTGAATGCTGAATTCAACTGTGTCCTTGGGCAAAGCACTTCCCCCGCTCTGTGAATGGTGAGTGCTTGCTTCTAGCTCCAGAGGACAACACACCCTGACCTGAGCAGGCTACTGTGTCTTAAGTATGAACAGATATTTGAGGATCAATAACTATTAGGTAAACTTCCTTTACATGAATGACAAATATAAAAACAAATGAAGGAAAAGGAACTAGAAGGAAACAGTCAATGTAAGGAGCAGAAGGCAAGTAAAAATTGTGAAATATTTTCAACAATAGGAGAAGATATTGAACCTATGAAAAGACCAAGATACTGGGGGTGGGGGTGGGAATAATAGAGAACAAGAAAGTGTTTTTATTTATTTATTT